ATTGAATAAAGTTGACATTTTCTGTATCTATGTGTATACAACAATAAGAGTACTAGTGATACAATATACTATTGCATCACTGACAGCATTGGATACAGACAACTACTAAGATGAATGATGTCTGAGTAACTATCAGATTTATAAATTCATGGAATGGGCAATCAGACGAAAACAATCTTTAGATAACTAGCATTCACGGCATTTTATCAATTAGAGTTATGGAGATTAGTGCTTTTAAACATTTATCATTATCGATTAATCATTGTTAGACCGTCATTAGAAACCTAGAAGCATTGGACTGCTGTTTCGTCCTGGTATGGGACTCATCAGCATTACGCATCCACGACTCCTGCTCCTCGCAGGATTCGAACCGAAGACCTTCGGTGTTGAGCGCGAATGCCGAACCTCTGAACCACTAGGCTGGCATCTAACTGTGTTGATGTCTAACTCTGATGAATCCAGAGATTTTGCGCGACATCATCCATTTGTCTTTAGTAGTTACTGCCTACATTCGACAGTGTTGAACTCCACTGGTCACGTCTTCTCACAAGAACTCCGAGGATTCCACACGAATCTAGTCACTGGTGAGCACAACTCATGAGTCCCATACCAGGATAAAATGGCCGTATTGCTTCCAGGTCCCTAATGGTATTCTAACAATGATTGATTGATGATTTCAATACTAGACACTGTAAAATTAATAAACATTATCGATCAATGCAGTTAATCAATTAAATTGAATGAAGTGGACAATAGGAGAGTGATGACACATCAAAATTACAAATACAGTCAAGAAATTCAACTGTAAAACAAATTTATCAGAATGAATTGATTTTGTGCTTGCAGATTGTACTAAGTTTGTGCTCATTTCTTCTATTTGACTTAAGTGTTGCCCAAAAAACAGCGATGAAAGCTTTTATCATCAAACTGTTTTCACTGTAACCAACCTGACACGATCATAAAATGAATCTATTCAAGGTAAAAAATAAAAGAAATCTTTTTTGTAAATGTCAAAATTATTCACTTCTGTTGAATTTCAAATCTAACTAATAATTTTAAATTACCCATAGGATTGATAAATTTGATTGTTGAATTTAGAAATGATAACTAAACAGTTAGTAATATTTGTATGTTTATTCAATGCAGTCATTTCAACATAAGAATCTTATGGTTAATGAAAAGTATCATAAACTTTTTGATTTTACTACGTTAACAGTTAACTCTTCGTTAAGATAACATTCAACAATCTTCGAAACCTTTTAACTTAAGAATTTATTATGTGATTTCTAGTGATCATCTTTCCGAAGTCATTGTTGGAGTTCTGTTGAGAGGTTATTATTCATATTATTATTATTAATATTATTATTATTGTTATTATTATCATTAGTCACGTTTGATCTTGCTGAACAACAAGCAAATATAACTAACGATAATGGATGACGGCAGCTCAGTATATTATGAACTAACTGACTGTAAATCAAATCCATTTGCAACCATCTTAAGTTTTTTGCCGGTTCCAAGTCATGTTAACGAAAAAGGGTTGGACTTTTTTCATTGTGTAAAAAGAACCTCGATAAAAAAACTTTACCCAGAAAATAATTTAAATCATTTAAACTCTACAGTGACAGTTGAGAAGTCTCTATGAAATACCATAGTTTATATCGAGAGTCTTTGGAACTAACTAGACTAGCGTCTCTTCTAACAACCAGAGAAACAATTAATATGGGTACACTTAATGTCTACATAACGTAGAAGACCAGGAGGATCATTGAAATAAGCAGCTTGGAACAGATGAGACCACACTGAAATCAGGCTGGACAGAAATGATTAAATAAAAATAGGTTCTTTTATACTCCGGTCATGAAGAAGAAGTTGTACTGCTTTTGACCAAAGGAACAAAAAAACGGGTACAAAGTGGAAAATCCACTGATCCAGGATCACGAAAGCGACCTTCGAGGCAAAGACAGAGGCGATTAAAGTGAATGTCTTGCAGTGTTACGCTTTCTTTAAAATAGAAGCGAAGATGATAAGAATTAGATTTGTAAGAGTTTGTGGCCCATCGTAAAGAACATTTCATAAAAGGAACCGACAATCCTGATCGGCGGTCAAAACAACAAAGTCGATATCGACGACGGCGAGTACGAACGCAGTATGTGGTAAGCTTACAAAACAGAATGGTGAGGTACAAGTAAATCTATGAGCCTTGATGCTGCTACCACCAACTTTACACAAGACACATACGCAAAGCTACATGGACTTATAATGACGGCTATTCGGAAAACCAGATCGATGGAATTCTAGAGGGTTCATGGAAGACATAAGAAAAAAAGAGGAGTAGATACAGCATCAGATAACCATCTGGTGGTGCCGAAGCTAAACCAGTGTTCTCCAACCTACTCTGTCTTGGGCTTCCCTTTCCAATTCTGTCCAATTTTTGTTCATTCTTCTCATGTCCTTCTCTGTTTCTCGGTGTAGTCTGTTCTTTGGCCTACCACATTTCCTTTTACCCCGGGGGTTCCAAGTGAGGGCTTGCCTTGTGGCTCAGATGGATGCGATTCACAGTGTGTGTCCTATCCACTTCCACTGCTTCTTCCAGATTTCCCCCTCCGCTGAAATCTAGTTTGTTCTATCCCACAGTAGATTACTGCTGATGGTGTCTAGTCAACATATCCAAAGTATTTTGTAAAGAAAACTGTTAATGGATATTTGAATCTTCTGGATGATGGCTTTGGTAGTTTTCCAAGTTTCCGCTCCACACAGTAGAACTTTCTTGACATTGGTATAGGAAAATCTGACTTTGGTGTTTGTTGACAGTTGTTTTGAGTTCCAGATGTTGTTAAGTTTTAGAAAGGCAGCCCTTGCTTTGCCGATCCGCGCCTTCACAACTGTATCGGATCCACCATGATTGTCGAGGATGCTGCCCAGATATGTAAAGGTGTTGATGTCTTCCAAGGCATCTCTATCAAGAATGATTTGGTTGGCGCATGTTGTGTTGCATCGGAGAATTTTGCTTTTCCCTTTGTGTATGTTGAGATATGCTGCTGCTGAAGCTGCTGCTACACTGGTTGTCTTCTCTTGCATTTGTTGTTACATGTGAGATAGAAGAGCCAGATTATCTACGAAGTCCAGATCGTCCAGCTGCATCCAGACTATGAACTTTATACCGTGCTTTCATCCAGATGCTGACATCTTCATAATCTAGTCGATCACCAGGAGAAAGAGAAAGGGTGAGAGTAAGCAACCTTGCCTAACACCGGTCTTCACGTCGAATGAGTCTGTCAGCTGTGCTGCGTGCACTATTTTGTAGTTTAATCCATCATAAGAATATCGTATGTTGTTGAATATCTTCTCAGGCACATCGTAGTGTCGAAGAAGCCTCCAGTGTTTTCCTGTTGATGTAGAACGGTTAGTTCCACACTGATCCGTAATGTTGCCATTCCTTCAGTACACGATCGATCCTTACAAAATCTAGCCTGTTGATCTCAAAGTTGGGAGTCTACGAAGTCCTTCATTCTGTTTAACAATACTCTGTTGAAGACTTTGCCTGGTATTGAGAGAAGGGTGATGCCTCTGTAGTTCTCACACTTGCTGAGATCTCCTTTCTTTGGCATTTTGATGAGGTATCCTTTTTTCACTCTGATGGCATTTGTTCCTCATCCCAAATTTTGTTGATGAGAATGTGGAATATTTTTGCAGTTGCTGCCACGTCTGCTTTCATTGCCTCTGCTGGGATGTTGTCTGGTCCTGCTGCTTTGCCACTCTTGATTTGTCTGATGGCCACACTGATCTCTTCAGTTGCTGGTGGGAGGTCCGTGGATGCTGCTTCGATGTTGGGTGGGTTTAGTGGGTCTGGTCGATTCAAGAGTTCCTAAAGTGCTCTATCAACCTACTTCTCTGTTCTTCAGTGTTGCTGACTACTCTGCCTTGCTTGCTTTTCGCTGGTCGTTCTGGTTTGTGATAGTTTCCAGCGAGCTTCTTTGTTGTGTCGTACAATTGTCTCATGTTTCCTTTTCCGCCGTCATTGCTAGGTCTTCCACATATTTTCGTTTGTCAGCTCTGATGCTCTTCTTCACTTCCCTGTTTGCTTCTGTGTATGCAGCTTGTGCCTTAACTTTATCTGCACTTGTTCGGCTGACATTGATTACTGCCTTACGGTTCCTTCTTTCTTGAATTTTATCAAGAGTACCATTGAAGATCCATTCCTTATGGTGGTACTTCTTGTGTCGCCTTGATCCCTTCCCATTTGTCGTCCATCGTTGTTTCCTCTCCATTGACTACATCGTGCAAAGCCTCGATCCTTTTGGTCAGGGCTATACTGAATTCTTTCAGCTTTCCAGTATCCGAAGAAACGCCCTATTAAACTTTTGAGATGTTGTCTGCCCCGCTGTTCAGTGCCTTTTTAGTTTCGGTTTCATTTTGGCGACCAGCAAGTGTTGATCTGAGGCTGTATCAGCTCCTCTCTTGGTTCTGACGTCCTCCATTGTACTTCTGAATGTTTTATTGATGCAGATATGATCGACTTGGTTCTGAGTAGTGTGATACGTTGAAATCCATGTGGCTTTATGTATGCATTTGTATGGGGATATTGTGCCACAGATGACCAGTTTGTTGAAGACATATATGTTTGCAAAGCTCTCATCATTTTCATTCCTTTCTCCCAGTCCATGTCGTGCTACGCAGTAACTTCGAATTCTCGAAGCCAAAGGAATAGAGAAGCATTAATGAACATATTGTGTCAGGAATTTGTGGTAAACGTCAAAAGGATGAGTGATACTTGGTGACAACTGGTAATGAGAGTTTTAGAACGAGTAGGTTGGAGATTGTTGTTTGGTGGCCTATGCTGCATGAAGGGTAAGAGATAGGAATTAGTAAGTATGAAGTATAAACTAGTAAGCATCAGAGCATTCGTCTAAAGCTTGCAGTCAATCACTTGTTTGTTTATTCTTTAATTTCGACCATTTTCTCCTCACTCAAATCACGATGAAGCCATTAGTCCCCAAATGATAAGTTCTCAAACATCATCATCATCATCATCATCATCATCATCATCATCATCATCATCATCATCATCATCATCATCATCATCATCATCATCATCATCATCATCATCATCATCATCATCATCATCATCATCATCATCATCATCATCATCATCATCATCATCATCATCATCATCATCATCATCATCATCATCATCATCATCATCATCATCATCATCATCATCATCATCATCATCATCATCATCATCATCATCATCATCATCATCATCATCATCATCATCATCATCATCATCATCATCATCATCATCATCATCATCATCATCATCATCATCATCATCATCATCATCATCATCATCATCATCATCATCATCATCATCATCATCATCATCATCATCATCATCATCATCATCATCATCATCATCATCATCATCATCATCATCATCATCATCATCATCATCATCATCATCATCATCATCATCATCATCATCATCATCATCATCATCATCATCATCATCATCATCATCATCATCATCATCATCATCATCATCATCATCATCATCATCATCATCATCATCATCATCATCATCATCATCATCATCATCATCATCATCATCATCATCATCATCACATCATCATCGTATTACGGTACATTGTGATCTGAATTTAAAATTAAACGATACACTGACTATTCATTGTCATTATGAAAGACATTAGACTCCCATTGAAAAGAATTAATTCCTGTTAATGTCAACGAGATTAATCATTGTCTCATATTTCTAATCACTGTGCAATTTATATTTATTCTATCGGTTAATATACTTAAAATGGGATTAGAAACATGGTTTCAATTAAATTTGAGAAAAATAATTCTTTCTATAATTAAATTAGCTATATTAATTCAACTATTTTTTTTTATGTGAAGAGAACTATATACATGTATGTAACTTGCTCAGTTTACTTAATACTCACTTCTCCTCTACTTGATCAAAAGTCATCAATGCCTCAGTGATAATCATAATCCATGTAGACCGATAAATTGTTTGTTAAAAATCATGTTATTACATGAGAAAATGAAAAGCAACCGACATGATGACCATGAAGAATCCATTTTGAATATGGTCAACTTGACCTGTGATCAAATCTCATCAAAATATAAATGGATGGATTCGATTCCGGTTAGATGATTAGATGTTAGAATTTTCTATTTTTTTTTTATTTTTTATTTTTATAAAGCAAAAATCATGTGCATACAGGTAACAGCACATTGTGTGTGTGCGTGTGTGTGTGTTTGTGTGTGCACTATTTTCCTGGTCTTGGTTATGAATACCAAATGAAATCATTTTCATTTGGTTAATGTGAATTTTGATTAACTAAAAATATATATATATATGTATATCTATATAGTTAATCCCTTTATATTCCTATTGATCAGGTTACCAATATTGAATCCATCTGTCATTGCTTGATGATACTCTGTGTCCATTGTGTAAACGTCAGTTACAAGAGTAATTTATGAATTATTTTTTTTTGAAAAAAAACCCACTGACGACTAATCATAATCATAATACTATTAATAGTATTCATCATCATCATCATGACGACTAGCAACCAAGCCTTGGTTTATTTAATTTGATGCAATAAGATGTGTGTGTACATGCTTATACTTAAATATATATATTGGCCTAATTTTATTTGAATATTGAATAGAAGGATTCAAATTACTTTACACGATCATCAATGTCACATGATCAATAGATATATGCATACATTGCTAATGGGTATGTTCAATAATTCTACTCAGGTTTCTTCATTCTTCCTCCCTGTCCCCCCACCCCTGAAGTAGTTTTATCGATAGGTCATTGTTGTAATGTAGAAATGTGAGAAATGTTTATTGTAAAGCAAGTGTGCAGTTAGTGATCACAGCATACACACACACACACATATATATATATGCCAACACACACATACACACGAACACGAACACATGCATAAAATTAAAGTATTTTATTCCATTTATACAAAAGGGATGTATCTGAGACCAAGGTTGCATGATGATGACTGAACACTATGTGTCCATTTATAATACTTCAAGTTACCATGTGACATATGGTTCACGTGTCCATTCTTATTCTAGTTTTCTTTCTCCTTTTTCCTTTTTCATTTTTTCATTAAAAAATTTAAAAATATTTTAAATATATGCATGACAAAAATATTTGCCTACTTTATGTTGCTAAGCTAATAGTTATTTCATTGAAACTGTGAGTAATCTTTTTTTCTTTCAATTTGATTATCAAACAAATAACATGGTATATGTTTTGTTTAGAAAAACAAAATTGTTGCAACAGAAAATGTTTCATTTGCCCTAGAAATAATAATAATAATAACAATAATACTAATAATCATTTTCATGAGAAAAATAAAATACTCTGTCTCATTCACTAGGTTAAGTTGTTATTAGCTTAGTTGAATGAACAACCACTTAATCTATCTATCTCACTGATATTCACGATGATTGGAAATTCACGAAATGCAGTTTTTGTATGTGTGCGTGTGTGTGAGTGTGAGTGAGTGTACGCTTGGTGCATGCATTGTCATATGAGTCTCTATGATCAAGAGGAATGAGGCAATGGATTATGAGAAATGAATTTGATTAAGAGTTGCCTAGCTGTCGAAGTTTCACAAGTGAGTTGATGAATATCAATGCAAAACACCTCTGTTCTTTATAAATATTTCAATATCCATCATCATGTACATGTACATGTACACACACACACACACACACACACACACTCAAATTTATGTTATTGATAGACTCGAACTAGAAATTATCACGTGAATTAATAATGATCTCTGAAAGTTTCCAGTTCACTTCTTTACCACTGCAATTCACATCCAATACTAATACTGCTCAATCATATTCGAATGGAACATTCTGTAATCTTTGTTTGTTGGTTTGTTTGTTTTTGCTACATTCTGGTGATTTTTCAAATTGATATTTTGTGATATTTGAATAACAAGAATTGATTTTCTAATTTATACAAAACTCCACGAAGAATAAATAATCTTTACTGAACCATTCAGTTTGTATACAAACAAACTACCTTTTAGGAATTATCTGTCAGATTCCAGTAAGAAAAAATTCATTTTTAACATTAGTTTGTGATGATTGTTGACTAGAAAACAATGTAAAATTCTCATATGGTGTGTGTGTGTGTGTGTGGGTGTGTATACTATTTATTTTGCATAAATTATACTTGCAACCTATCGACGACCAATTGTTTACAAATGTTCTTCCAGAAACTTCCAGATGAACGTTCATATTTAATGACTGTAAATCACGAGTGATTGTACTGTAATAATATTCAATAACAACTATCACTTACATTGAAATCATGAATCAATTATTGTTAGACCACCATGAGAAACTTGGAAGCACTGGACAACCGTGTGGGACTCTTCAGCAGAGCGGATCCACTACTCGAACCCAGGACTTTTGGTATAACATGCAAACGATTAACACCTAGCCGGCTTCTAACAGTTTTGATTTCAATGATTTCAATGTAAACCAACAATCACCATAATTCTATGATGAATATCATATAATATGCTCACTAACGACTAACTTCATGAGGAAATTCTAGGATCTCTACTGAGACGTTTTGAACAGTGGAGTTCAACTCTACTGGGTGTAGGCAGTAACTACCGAACACATTGGGTGAGGTTGCTCTAAAACCTTGGATTGATTAAAATTAGACATTAACACCTCTGTCCTTTTCGATACTATATGAGGTTGACATATTTTGTTTCTGCTGAATAAACGGGTCGCTAACAAAAAAAACACTTTTAGGGGTTTATATTATTCTATTACTGATGTATGAAATTTTAATTTTGATCAGTTCCTGTTAACAAAAGTTAATTCCAAGTGAATCGTCTATAGTCATAAATTAAGTTGTGAAGTTCTCAATAAACTAGCCGGTAGATACAAGATCCCTATCAAAATTAAACGAAATGTATGTTGGAACAATTTCTAGTGGAACTGTTCAAGCTGTTTTATTAAATTATATTGAGAATAAGTCATCTATTCTTTGATAAGTAAATATGGTTCCATAAATTTCGACCTTGATGCAGACAAAAACAGATCGAATTCAATGAATTTCTTTTCAGTCTTTTTTCTCTAAAGGTCAAAAATGTGTAACAAGAACCAGACGAAAATTATTGATTATTGAGGCGGGGGGGGGGACAATCAATAACAATTTTATCATAAAATAAATCATTTAAAATGTTATAGATTGCAGTGTATTAGTAGAGAAAGGATTTTGTTAATAAGACTAATGCTTTGGTTACACTGAGCTGAATAGTTTTTATCATGAACCTTTTGTGATCATTTTAGACAATATCTTCAGCACAAACTTTACATAGAAGTGAGATATGCACATTTCTTCCTAATTGAATAAGCACATTGTTTAATCAATCCCCCGTCCCCCAAAAAACACACTGTTTGATTTTTGTTGGCACTTTTTCTGTCATTATTTGCAGACTGTTAGAGAGGACAGTTGAATAACTCACTTTCACTTAAACCTTGTGATGATGATGATGACGATGATGCTGATGCTGTGGTCTACAGAAAGAAACAACAATCAAACTTTTCTAATCGTATCCCACCTTAACTCATTGAACTTGATTTTTTTTTGATGAAAAAAAACAACATAAATTTGGCACAGAAAAAGAAAAGAAAACTTTTAATTGTTTAATAAGTGCATTTTTGACGATTATTACATATTATATATATATCATATAATATTATTATTATTATTATTATTATTATTATTATTACAATTATTATCAATTACAAGTGACAAAAGATTTTCAAAGTAGTAAATTTTATTATTATTATTATTATTACAACGGATTACCGGTCACCTACTTAAATCAGTTAGTAGTAATATTTATTACTTTTCATCAAAATCCTATGAACAGATCTTCGGCCAAATAATTTACATGTTAAATAGCATGTTATTATTGAGGTAGTTATTAATTTATATATAATTAGGTAATTTTATTCTTTATGAATAAATCTAATGTACACAGTTTATTGAAAATTAATCCATGAAACATTCATTATTAATGGGTTGTTTCAATCTTCCCATAGGTGTTTGGACCAGTCTATTTTAGCATATGTGCATTGTGTACGGATTGTTTGAATACAATCTTTAAGTCTCAAGCATTATACGAACAGTTTGATAATGGCTGAACGCGTGTTCCGTTCTGTTTGGGACATGTCAGTTCAAAATATAATTGCAGTCCAGTGTTGATGTTCACTACGAGACTTAAAGCCAATTATCTTGTCATTCATTTAGCTAACAAGTCAAACTATGAATAATGATTACACTACTAGCCATTATCAGAATCTATTTCTAATTCATGATTGTTTTTTATTTTACGAACTGGTTAAAATCATTTGAACAATAAAAAAAATAATATAAAGTATAAACTGAAATAATTAAATAAATTCAAAAATACTATTAAATTTTACAACAAATAATTTGAGATTTTAATTAATTACTTGATATAAAACTTGATTCAAAATCTTGCATTTCATTTCAATTCACTGTTGTTCCATCAATAATGCAGCACTGAACTAATACAATATTGAATTTTAAATAATTATTTCTTTCTAAAGAAAATAAATGAACTCTTTGACTTCGACTTTATTC